GTCCTCGGAGTTTCATCTGGTGTTTAGAGCTTCCGAGTTGCCCGTCTGCTCAGCGATTTTCTGGCTGGGTGTCACTTCAGGTTGTCTTCCTGTCTCCTGGACTATGAATTACAACCTTGCTTTATATCGCAACCCTGCTTTTAAGTATAATTAAAGTCACGAGGTGCTGCGTAAACAAATTTTTGGGGCGGTAGGAGGGGGAGGCTGTATCGGGGACACTCTCCTGTGCTAGTGTCCGTGACACCTCGTGGGAGAGAACCCCTCATGTCCCACTCTCTGTCTGCCACCTGCCATGCACAGCTTTTGGCCCACCAAGGAGAAAATCACTTCTATTATTCAAATGCCTCCGTCACTGGGGCAGGCAAATGTGGTTGTGCAACCCAAAGGGCTTTTTGGTGTTTACGCTTCTTCAGCCAGAGAAGATCTTGATTGAGCTTCCCACTCTCCTGATTTGCATCAGCCTAATGTCAGCTCCTGGTTTGGGGTTTTGCTGTGTCCCTTCGCTACTGGAGCATGTTTCCCCCTGGGCATCCCCCCATTCCTGAGCTTATCTCCTCGATGCTGGAGGCGTTTGGCCCATGGGCACGACGTGGCCTCTCTGGAGCATCCATCCCTCCCTGCTGAGCCCTTTCCTGGGGCAGCCCAGCGCAGGCTGGAGAGCAAGGGAAATATTTCTGTGATTGCATCAGGGTGTTCCTGGCTCCCGCCTTTTCCGTGGATGCTGGGAGCTCGTGCACCTCTGGGGCTTCCCCAGCTGTTCTCAACCTTCTGCCTTCGGCTCCCCTGAGCCCATCGGGCAAATCCTATGGGAGCCTGTCTAGGGCCAAACCCTGATGAACCACTTCTCTTGCATGTGTGTGTGTGTGTGATGTTTGCTGTATTGTGCTCGGGGCTCACATTGTGCCAAGCCCCGGGAAGGGGAGCCTGGGTGTCCCCAGCTTCCCCTGCTGTCCTCTGCCTGTGGAGCTGCCAGGGACAGCATCATCCCTGGTGAGATGTGCCCTCCTGGGGGACACGATCTGGCACAAGACCTGCTTTAAAACCCTGCCAAGGGGCTACTACCCTGACCTGAAGCTGTCATCCTGCCAAGGGGAGGTGTTTGGATGGAGGAAAGTGATGGAGTTCAGCATGGTGAGGGAGGAGAAGAGGTGATGGTCACAGAGTGACCCAGCTGGATACAAGAGAGGCTCAGCCCCGTGTTGGTGGCTGGAGACCTCTGTTCCTTTGAGAGGCAATCCTAGGGGCTCCTGACATGCTCCTGACTGGGATGGGCATGACTGGATTTGCACACACGGGTGTCTGCCCCATGTTTGAGCTGTCCCCGCTTGGTCCTGAGCCCAACCCATGCACCAGGACACTCTTAAACCCTTCTGGGTCGTGGCAGAGTGACACTATCCATGAGGAAACGTTTGCATTAACCTCTAAGTGAAGCAAACAACTAAACAAAAGGAAAAGCTTTTACACCCCCAAACAGCTGCTCATTCCTCCCTGCCGGTCTTTGTTCATCGAGCTGTGCTGGGCCGGGACAAGCTGGGACAGGCCCTGGCCGAGGGCGCTGCGAGGGCTGTGTGATGTCGGTGCCCCGGGCAGCGCCTCCACCAGCGTCCCTGGGGGTGGTGACCAGCCTGTTCCTATCCCCGGAACTGGGCTTATATGACTTTTCCTTGTGCGGTGTCCAATGCTGTAAGTTTTTTGGAAGGGAGCAGTCTTGCTTTCAGTGTAGGAGGCAGACAGGTTTCATTCTGGGCTGGAATCGGAGCTTTCCTGGGTTCCTGTCATCTGAGGGATGCTGGGGGGATGGTGTCCTCATAGTTCAGGGTTTGGTCCTTACTGGACTGAATGTGGCCATGACAATCTGAGGACAATATTCTCAAAGGCAGGAGCTCGGGGGCTGGTGTCCTTGTCCCTGATGGGGACGGTGGTGTTCCCAGGAGAGGAGAAGGCTCACAGAATCACAGAATGTTAGGACTTGGAAGGGACCTCGAAAAATCATCTAGTCAATCTCCGCTGCCAGACCATGGCCCTCCTCAGCCAGATCCATCTTTCTGAAAGGCTGCAGCACTGATGCAGCTGAGTTTTGCAGAGATGAGATGGTTTGGGTGAGATGCTGGAAGACTGCTGTGATAGGAAGGGGAGGAATGAGCTCGGAAACACCCTGCTAGGCTCTGGTGCTGCCCTTGGTGTGGTGTCCAGCTCCCAGGAAAAGCTCTCCATTTGCCATGGCTTGTTAGCTACAAGAGATCTTGAACCTGCTCAAAATGCTAATGGCTGTTAATGAGGCAGGGTGGGTGCTGGGCTTGTCTTTGCCTGGCAGTGTCATGGGAGAGAGGGTGCTGCTGCAAGAGCATCCCTTGGGTGCCTCTTCCTGCCCCGGTGCTGCTTGCAGGGGGCTCACAGGAGAAGGAGGAAAGGGGAATGGAAAAGGACATCAGGAGGTGGCCAAACCCTCCACATCACACCTCTCTTTAACACTGTATTTGTAGAGGATTTCCTGTTGGCAGCCTCCTCTGGAGGTCTCTGGTCCAGCTGCCCCAATTACCTCTGAGGCTAAACCAGTCTGTGCAGAGCCTCAGCTGGGTGAGATTTGAAGTTCTCCAAGGACAGAGATCCCACCACCTCCCCAGGCCCATGTCACCACCCTACCCAAAGAATTACCATTTTTACACCCAGTTAGCATTTCTCCCCTAGCAATTTGTTGTTTCTCACCCTTTTGCTGTGCACCTCCACATCTCTCTAACCACCTGAGGCCTGTTGGGGCCACGAGTAGCTCCTTCAGCTTCCAACTCTTCCCCCACTTGGCCAGATGACATTGCAGGCTGCAAAAGTGTTCACATTGCTTCTGACTTTCTGCACTTGCAGCCCAGCTGAGCTCAAATTTCCTCTGAAACTTCAGCCCAAATCAACTGGGAAAATTAAAATCAATCCTTGTGGCAATGAGAACCTCCCATGCACGTTCTGGGCAGAAGTCAGATGTCTGAAAAAAATCAAGGTTGATAGTTGTAAACATGCTTAGGAGGGAATGGAGCTGCTCAGCGTGGTCTCTGGGGCATTGGGTAGGTGGGCTTTGTCACCACAGTTGGTGGCAACCTGATCTGTCTCCGTCCTGGCTGCTCAGGAGCTGATGGGTATGGTTGCTCCTCTGGGTAGCCAGGAAGGATCAGCCCTTGGTAAAATCCTGCTACGTTTCTCTGGGCTGCTCCACTGGGTTTTCCAGCGTACCCCTCACTGTGGCCACAGGGCTGTGGCTTCACAGCAGAAAACCCAGTTCTTGGACATCTCCCATCCTCAGGGGTTATTTCTCCTTCAGTAAATTCCAGGAGAATAAAGAACCTGGTGCCCAGGGTGCTTCTCCTGCTGCTCTCGCCAGACATCCCAAGAGCCTGGCATGGGGTTATCTCCCTCCCTGTCCTCTTGCTGATTTGCATCACGTAGTAATTTTGCATTTATGTCTGAGAAGCCCTGTGCCCGCTTGGGTGGAGAGCAGAAGCGCTTCTTCAGCTGGTGCTTGTTTAGAGAGCATGACCTCGCTATGATAAGCACCAGAGGGATCAGAGATGAGAATAAACTGAATATTATAAACCTGCAAAGTGCAGGCTGAGCTGGCGGACACGGTGCTGAACCACTGGGGCTGCAAGATCAGGATTTCTGGGCAGCATGAGCGAGAGATGGGGTGGCCTCATGCAAGGTTTCCCTAAAAATACGGGGAGGTTGAAGCATCCTCCTTCCTTTTCCCAAGTACGAATGTGTTTGAGGAATGGGTTTTAAAAGCCAAATGAAGATTGCAACGAGCAACCGCTTTGTATATATAGGTGTCAGAGAAAATGCCCAGCGATGCTTTGATGCAAAGAAAAGGGCAGGACCAGGGAGCGCTTGCGGTGAGCCAGGCATGGGGACTGCCACTGCCCCCCTGCAGCATCCAGCTTCTGGCCCTGGGGTGTTTTTTTGGGTGGGGGGAAAAAAGCAATCAACCTTGGGAAAAAGGGAATTTATAGCAGAGACCGGATTTGTACCAGAATTGTGTGACCTGGGAGCCGCGTGCCAGCGAGTGCAGCTTTTGGGTCGTTCCCATCCTGACGGCTGTGAATCCCGGTGAGACGCTCATCGTGCGGTGCCTGGCTCATTGCGCAGCTCTGGGGCTTTATTTGTGCTTTTGGGAGGGAAAAAGAGGAGTCCTGGTGTCTCCGGCTGCTGAGGTGAGAGGGCTGGAGGCAGTGCAGCCACCCCAGGGCTTGGCAGGTTGGCGTGGCTGGCACGGTGTTTTTCCGCAAGTGCGGGATGTTTCAGCTCTGTGCAAGAGAAAAATAAAGGCAAAAACTTGTAAAAGAGGAGTGTGGAGCTTCGCTAAGCTTAAGGCAGCCAGTGGGGCTGCCTGGGCCAGCTTGCCTTTGCTCCTAGACTGGATTTACTGCTGGGGAGGGATTCTGCATCCCTTGGGATATGTTCTACATCCCTTGGGAAGTATAATTTTTTTTCTTTTTTGCTCTTGCTGCTGCTGTCCCTGACTCCAGCCTAAGCACATTTGTATCTCGCTCTTCCCAGGAGCATCCCAGGGCTGGCAGGGATCACATTCCGGAGCATCGGGTGGGGAAAGGCAGCAGGATGAGGCACAGCTCTCCTGGCTCCATCACAGCCGCTGAGCTCATTTTTTTTTTAGCTCATTATATCAGCTTGGGAGCTGATCGAAGGCAGTTTGCACAGATGCATTTAATGGGTGAAAATTCATAAAAATATTTCCTGGGCTCTGTCATGTCAATGTGGTGTCCGACCACTGGTGGGGTTAGTTCCAGCATCCTGCATCCTTTCCCTGAACTCCAGCTTTGCCCGGGAGCTTCGTGCCAGCAAAGGATGTGCAGTGTGGGACGCAGCTGCACCGAGGCACAGAGGGATGCTGTCAGCACTGAAATGGGGAGGAACCACGAGAAAACCTTATTTTAAAAAAAAACAAAAAAATCAAAAACCCCCACAAACAAAAAAAACCCACCCCAACTTTCTTTTTGCAGATCGGGAGCTTGGAAAACTACTATCACTTTCACCACAGCAGGACGTTCAAGCGCTCGACGCTGAGCAGCCGGGGACCGCACAACTTCCTCCGCATGGACCCCAAGGTACGGGACCAGATAGCCCACGGTCCCCCAGCCCCCGTGGGGGCCGGGGG